GTTGTTTATTTAGCCTGTATGCTTCAAAATCTACTGGTGGCTGATACCCAACCAGCTTGAAACTTGACTTTTAGGACCAGAGCCTTGAAGTTTCAATGAGACTTTCTTAAAAGTACAGTCCAAAGAGTTTATGAAAATAGGAGCATCTCTCTCAAAAGATACTATGAGAGTATCATGTTAATTTTAGTTTAACAAATAGGAAAAATGATTATGATTAATAGCTCTCAGCTTTCACATACTTCTTTTCATGTTCAAAGTGCTTGACAAACATTAATTAAATCGCTAGCAGTCAAATTAGATAAATATGTTTTCTGTATGTGCATAACTGTACCTTCCATGCACACAGTCTTCTAAATCACATTGCTGCAGATCAAACATTTTCTTTTTCTTTATTTTTGCCATCTGAACTTGGTTGGCTGACACTGATTCCAAAGAACAGATAATTACTGGAAGGGATAATTGTGACAAGAGATTATGTAAGCTTTGTTTTTAAACAAAAACATGGAATTTATCCTTGATAAAAGGTACGAGATGAACCACAGTATAAAATGCTTCTGACTCTAGGCCAGAAGGTAACAATGATAAAGCAAATTTCCTCACATTATAGTGTTGGAATAGCTAAACCCTAATTTAAAGAGATCATTTCATCAACAGAGTACATTTTATGCTTTCTGGGCTACTGATGTTTTTGGCCTCTTTCAGCACCAATAACAAGATGGCTTTTAAGGCTAAATATGGTGTTGATTTCAGCAGTATGGTAGTTGTTCATAACGCTAGGAATCCTTGGTCACTACTGACTTGAGAACCATTTGGGCCAGCAAATTAAACATAGTAAATTTCATGATTATTTTTAGAATAACTTACACTAATTTTTCCTTATTTGAATTTAATGAAGCTTTCCAAACCCTCCCAAGAGATTAACTGCTTCCAATGGACCCCAAAACAAAATATATTCCAAGTAAAAAAGAGTGCTAATAGCATTCTGTCTTTCTATAACACCTCACAAATTAACACGCTCTACCCATCAACATTATGCAATCGGAAGAAGGCATGCACATGCATGTGTGGGCACAACCTGGTCAGAGTCAGGCTTGCTTTCCTTGGGAAGCTCAGGCTGCCTTGCTACAAATGGAGGGCCTCAGGTTTCTTCTTCAGCTCTGTTTGCCAAACTGGTCTAATCGGTTTCCAGGGAAGGAAAATACTCCTTAATTGTCTTGCAGTTTGCTGATCAAAAGAACATCTGGATCAACTGAGACTGCAAAAGTACCACTTGGAGTCATGGTAGCTGTTCATGTGCTCCTCACAGAATGACATTTGTTTCTCTTTTGTGGAAGTTCTTGCCTGTATGACTTTAAGGCTGAGATCCTTTAACAATCTGAGAAGTTCCTTTTCTTCACTAATGGAAACCTGGAGTTCCTTAAAAATATATGATGTGTCCAAGGCCACAGACTAACCACCTGGTCCATACCTCACAGGTGGTAGTAATGGAATCATAATTGATGTTGTACACTATTAGTCTTTGTGTTTCTACTGTTAGGTTTTTGCCATATTCCACAAGTAAGATTGGAACTTTCTGTGATTATATTAAGAGTATGGATTCATTGATGTGACTGATATTTGACCTAGATATATCCTGAAGATGTACGTTTGTTCTGTCTTCAGAATGAAGAGAAAAATACGAGATATAGACGGGGATATTTAAATGCATCTAAAATTCCCTAGTATCCCAAAATGTAAATGGCCTTAAAAGGTTAATAAAATGCACATGGATTTTATATATTTTGAGTTGTACTGATTCTTATAGTTAGTGTTCACTTCCTCTGTTTTCTTACTTCTTAAAAAGTGCCCCAATCTTCAGAGACTTTTTTTGGTGGCCACAGATAGCACCTTTATTGTTAACTAGACGAGCCTTTTCTTAATGCTTATCTCCTTAACTTTAATGCTGCATTTGATTTTATGAACTCTCTGCAAACACCACCACCCTAACTCCCCCTAAATACCTGGTACTTGGTCTCTTAGTATTTTCATCTTTCCTGCTAACCTTGCCATCAGTCTTCAACTTCATAACATCTCCTGCCTGGATTATCATTGAGGCTTCCATCTTGTTTTCCAGGCACGATCACTCCTTCAAATCCATAATGACAGAGTGACCTATCTTCCAAATGATCTTACTTTAACCTAACTTCAATACCCCTTCAACTGACAAAGACTTACTATGTCCCCTGTTTCATTTTCTTCACTTTCTTCTCAGATACTTCCACTATAGGTGCACTTGGCCTTTTCTACAGTCTCAAACACACAAAACTTATCTCCTTCTTGGGCTCAATGAGAGCAAGAGCCTTTAATTTTATTGATTTACTTCTAGTACCTATTGCTTAAAGATTCATGAGTACTTGTTGAATGATGAACCCTATAGATCATATCACTTCTAATCTACTCAACAACATTCCTCATTGTTTCTATATAAATGCACTTTATATTCTACAGAGGTTGTTCTCCCTGTCCATGGAATTTGTTTTCTATTATGTTGGGTGTATTGACCTTTTTTTCTCCAAGTGGATTATAAGCTACTGTAAGTCAGAGGCCCCTTTTATACTTTTCTTGTCCTCTACATTTTAGCAGAGCTTTGAGCAGCATTTCGTATGTATTTAACATCTATTTATTGATTTATTTCCTACTGTAACATATACTTCAACACTGAACACTTATGTCAGTAGGGCTGAAACAAACAAACAAACAAAAAATAGGCCAACCATAAAACACTGGCAAAAGGCCCATGGACAGGGACAGGGTGAGAGCATTTTTTCTTTCTTTTTAAACTTAGTTGAAGATAAATTTATCTTTACTAATCATATATGTCTATATATCCCTATATTCATATACATACATTCATATACTTTATTAGTATATATTAATTGTGCACAATAATGGGTTTCACTATGTCATTTTCATACACGTATATAACATATTTTGATCATATAGGGTGAGAGCTTCCTTATCTTCTAATTCTATTTGTGTAGAAAATAGTTTTCTGGAATTGAGGACATGAAGAAGATCTCCCTTGGGAAGATGTCTTGTGTCTTTACCTATCAGTATGAGTGTTTCTAAGGTACCAGGATCTCTGTGTACTGTTATTGACTCTTACCAAATCCTAAAACCTTCTTGGGCTTCTTACTCTTCTTTGTATTCTATGTATACTCCAAGTTTTTCCTTTGTGGCATTTATGTCCAATATTTCTTTAAAAATACCTACTAGCTTCTTCCAAACCTAACGAGATTATGGGCTACTTACCTTTTTTCACCTCTGCCCATTAATGGTTCTACTCTACCATTTCAGCCTGGTTTGCTATTGTTTCTCAAATTAATCTCCTATATGTTTGATCTTCAAACTTTTCCCCATTCTTGGTATGCTCATTTTCTTCTTAGTGCCTTTCTTCGAGCAGTTTCCTTTACGTTTTCTTCTTTATACACCAATCCAAATGATAAACTTCCTTTTTGTTATTGTGGCCTTTAAAAGGTTTTTAATTTATATGGATCATTTTCCAGGTTAACATTTGGATTGAACCCTTGATTATTAATGTTGAATTATTGTTTCATGCTTCATGCTTTACCTCCCCAATAATGTTGTAATTTTCCTGACAACAGGGATTTCACAATTCTTACAATTAGGCACAGCCCTTGGCACCTCTGAGGATGGGTGTGTTTGTGTGGATCAGGGTTCCAGAGCCCTGGCCAGAATTGCCTGAGTCATGCTGATGACCTCTGACTGAGAGAGATGAAGGTCATGAAACAGGAATCCTTGACAACTGGAATGAAATGGCCTCTGATAGCAATAACTCCCTACATAATGCTAAGTTGAGTTTTACAGATCATGTACATCATATAGGCAGAGCTGCAAAGTCAAAGAATTCTGATTTTGAAGATCTCTATGAAGTGTTTAACTGTAGGCAGAATGCTGGCAAGTATGTGAAGGAGGAGGTCTCAGTTTGAATTCTGACTTTGTTTCTAATTAAGCTGGGTAATATTGGGTAGGCAACTTTCCCTCTCTGGGCTTCAGATCTCAATTAGTAAAGTGAAAGATGATCTAAACGATGAGATAATTCAATTATAATTTATATGATTCTTTTTCTAAAGCAATGAAATGGTAGACATAGCCTTTGGTTTTTTCAGATACTTTGTGGAACAGGATTTGCTACTTTCATGGGAAGTTAGGAAATTTTCACTTTTGGCTTTTGGCATTTCTCCTTTTCTGTTTCTCAGCGGATGGACAGATGGTTTATTAGGCTTTTCAAATGCTTGTAATATCGTTGTTCAATTCAACAGTAGTTTTAAACTTTGAGGGTCCACATACAGGGTGGATTTCATTTAGAATAGAAGATAACTTTAACTGTTCAATGTAAGGATAATAAGGTTTACTCATGTAACTTAAAGCAACTTGTGACTGTAACTCGGAGGCCTGATCGATTTCCTTTATTTTGGTATGCTTAACGCGTTTCTGCACCACAGCCTAATGTTTCCAAGTGCAGTTGCAGTTTTAAAAGTGACATTACCGAATAAACCAGATATCCAGTTACAGTTGCATGTTTTGCCTTTGCCTGAATCATTTAACCCACAAACATGAAATCCTTTAACTCAGAATCACAGAAATTTAAAAGAGGAAGAGACAAATTCCTCCTTTTATAGATAGACCTAAGTCTATAAGTCTATAACACGAGAGACCTAAGTGTTCCTGATGCTTTCTACTGACTATATATTTTATAAACAAAAGTGCTACAGTGAAGCTAGGTTGCAGGGAAAGAAAATTCAATATCTGTGAACCCCAGCAGAAAATGCCATTCCTTGAAATGTAAGTGGTAATACACTATAGCATAAAGAAAATAAAGATGTATAAGAAAGATAGCTGAATTATCCAAGTCAAATGGTAGTCACCACAGCCAATACCTCGCTTGGAGATTTTTAATTATTCAATGTGACTCTCTTCATGTAAGTTGGACAGCGAACATGCAACTATTGATTACCCCTACTGCACCTGAAGTGTGTGGTAGCGAGAAGCGAAAATGTAGGTAAAGGAGTCCTGGAAGGGTCCGAGTGAGGGTAATTAGGCCTTTGCAAATCACGTGCAGAGAACCGGGATCCCGAGGCTCCAGCAGGCCAGGGAGAGGAGCAGGAAAGGGGACAGAAAAGGCCAGCAGAAAACTGCATGGGGAAGCCGAGGCCGACCTAAAGAGCAGTGTGGCCCTTCCACTATGCAAAGACAGGGCGCCTACGTGGGCTTAGACTAGAGGTCGGGGAAAGTACGAACAAACTACGGGACTGACGGGGATGCTGACGTGATGGGAAAGGGCGCGCGAGAAGGTGGCGAGAGGAGCCGGGCCCGCGGTGGGCAGGTGTGAGAGCCGGGCTGGCCCGGCGCAGCACAGCGGAGCAGAGCGCGCGGGCGAGAGCCGCCTCTGAGTCAGGAAGCCGGCGTCCGCACAGACCCGGCCGCGCAGGGGGCGGAGCCTCCGACACGTGGGCGGACCAAGGGGGCGGGGCCTCTCTCTGACGCGCCGGGAGGCCGCGGCGGCTTGCGGCCGGGAGGGGCGGCGGCAACGGAGGCGGCCGCGGGGGAGGGGCACGGCGTCGGCGCGTCGCCGGCTGGGCCGCGCCGGTGGCCAGGAGGAGAGACAAGGAGGAGGAGGAGGAGGAGGTGAGTAGGCTCTGGGCTGGGAGCAGCGCGGGCCGCGGGGAGGCGGGGAGCGCGGCCCCTCCCCTCCCCTCCCTTCCCGGCGCCCGCCTCGCGGGGCCGCGCGGCGCGGAGTTCCCAGTGGGGCAGCGACGGTGGCCGTGCGAGGAGCGGGGGTGGGAGGAAGGCGGAGCCGAGGGCTGCGCTTCCCGGGCGCACGCGCCGCGCTCTCTGCGCCGCCCCGTGCTCGGAGCCCGGCGTCCAGGCGGCTGCGTGTCATTCCTCTCAAACGGGCCATTTTCTCATTTCCTTGTCTCGGCGTGTACACGTCGTGCGTGCCGGCTTCACGCGGGCCGGCTTCACGCGGTAGGGCGCGTCTTCCTCCGCCGCAGCGGGCGGAGGGCCTTGTTCGGCCTTCCCCGAGCTGTCCCGCTGCCGCCCCTCGCGGGGCCAGCCTGGGATTTCCCGAAGGAACCTGTGCACCCGGCCCATGTCGCCCTCGCGGTGCGCCCCACTTTGTGGTCTGCAGAGACCGAAGACCCGTGACCACCCCACCTTCCCTCGTCCTATTTCCAGCGTGATTCCAGCACCCCGCCCATTCGGGTGGAAGGGTTCTGTGGATTAAGTCTTGTACTTCCCAACGGTGTCCTCAACGGCGAAATTGCAATGATACATTAATTTAGCCTTTGGTCCCGAGGTAGAATTGCCTCCTCCCCTCCACTCACCGCGGCCAGGAAAACTTCTTAGTCGTCTCAGAACCATGCATGCTACATTAGATTATCTTTGAGATAATGCTTAATTTAGTACCTTGAGGCCCTGTAATGGGAAGTTCAAAGAGAAAGCTTTACATTTTTTTTCCTTTACCTGTATCACAGCTTGAAATGGAAAACGTGGGTTGAAGGTGACTTTCCACAGGAGGTGGATTTCAGTTTGCAGCCCCCATGTGTCCTGGCTTGCCTTGCTTAGGTGGTGCTACCTCTGAGGTTGATTTTAAAGCTTAAAGTACTGGCCAGGTAAAGGTGCGGCTGAAAAGCGCAGTATAATTCAGTAGAGCCATTTTATTGGATTTTATTAACCTATTTAACCTTAAGCTTTAACCATAACAGGAGTTGCATGTAGGAACCCACATACCAACTGTAATACTGAATTTTAAGTATGTATTCCAGGTCTGATGTGGAATAGATTTTTCTAAGCTTCCACTCCCTTTTATTGTACCCTTTCCTTAGGGTCTTGTACTGTATTTAATGAAATAGTTTTATTCTATTAAATAAAGCAGCTTTTGAATCATGAAACTTTCTTTGGCAAATTTGAAAACAATGAATGGGTAATATCACAAGCATAAGATTGAGATAAGGTAGGAAAGTGCATTTTATAGCATTACCAATTTGAGATGTTAAGATGGTTTCTTCTGTTTTGAAATCATGTTGTCAATTTTATGAGCCATAGAAGTAGAGAGTTTTTGATTCATAAGGGAATTTAGCAGTGTCATCCAACACTCATTATTTTACAGAGAAATTAAGAATCAAAGACGGTTTTTTGAACAGATTTAGCAGGAACTGAACAGAACTAGTTGCCTTAATTAAGCACTTAGCTAGATAATTCAGACCTTCCCAATAGATACTCTTGTACCAAAGTTTGTCTTGATTATGGTATTTCACCTTCCCCCCCACCCCATCCCCTTTGGCAGTGTTGAGGATTGAATCCAGAGCCTCAGCCTGTTAGGCAAGAGCTCTTTCAGTTAACTAAGTCCTCATCTTTGTTCATTATATTATCTTCAACCAAATAATTACTCAATGTTTTCTCCCCCCTTTCTGCTTTTAGTGATTTTAGTTTGGACCCATTAATGATACAAATTACTTCTAGTTGGAAAATATTTACATTCTATCAGTTGAACATCACTTTTCATTTTAGTTAGAATTTAGTAATTACTTTTCATTTCAAGAATCTATCAGTTTTCTTGATTCAGGTAGTGGTGTCATCCCCAGGAGATTGGTATTTCAAGAGTCAAAGAGTTATGGTATACATAACTGTTATACTAATTAGAGAGGGAGGTCCAGTACACATGTAATAATCTAAACCAGCATGGTTCTTGTCACTTTTTAAAAAAAATAGTCTTCAAATGCGGGAGTCCTATAGTTCTTGCTGGCTTGGGTGATTTTTTTTTTTTGGCGCATCTCCCATAGCACAGTGTTTGCTGTAAGAATTTAGTAAATACTTGTTTGCTGTGTGCACTTTTCTGGTAAGGGCTTCATGAAACACAGACTGTATCTAATTCGTATATGTCCAGTGTCAACTGTAGTGGGTATTCTGAATGCTTGTGGTCTTGTTAGCTGAGTGTCTGGAAAGTCTTAATTACAATATAGTAAGCTTGAAATAGCTTATTTTCTTTTTTATTTTGAATCAAACACTCTGTTAGGTTGAATTCCATTATTGAAAGAGATAACAGGTGTTACATATGTTAGGGGTAAGAAACCTAACATTAATTTTGTTGTTAATCACTATGAAATTGGGAAAAGGACCCTTATTTAATTAGTGACAGAACACATCAGTCAAGCTCAAATAATACAAAGTTTCTACTGGAGCACAGTTTTATAACCATGAATTTAAAACACCTCCAATTGATAATATAGGCCACATTCTAAAGGCTTGATTTTACTTTATAAGGATGTATTTTTCAACATTAACTTTTTGTAAAGAACATGACTTTTGGAGTTCAGACACCTTTGGCAAGCTGTCCTGAAATGATATTTTAAACAGTTTTAGTCTCAAGTTGATATGCTGTACTTCAAATTGGTGATATTTGAAAGATAAAACACATTGGGTGTTCTCTTTCTGTTAGGATTATTCTTACCTCTTCTTTCTGCAGCAGATCAAAATAGTATGCTTTGTTCATTTAAGAAAATGAGGAAAAATCTCAGGCTTTTCTTTTGAAAAGTACTACCATTTTATCCTTGAAAAGCTTCGGTAAAATTTGGGCCTAGCAAATGCAGGGCAAATTCTATTGAGTGATTCCTACTTGAACATACAGAGTCATTCAGATAATAGCTTTCACAGGGACATCTTTGAACTATATTCATTTTTGCTATTGACACTGTTACTGAAAGCAAAGTACCAGTGTATATGGCCTACCCACTGCCAGATTAAGTCCTTTCCATGTAGACTGGAAATATATCAAGGACTTCCCTCCCAGCCAGCCCTCATGGAGTCATTCTGGTACCCTGAGACTCCATTGTTCATAGAGGTATGCTATTGCACCATAGTCTTGGCATGTAGTCAGTTTACATCTGTAAGATTTTCATTTGAAACACATTTTGGAATACAAGGCATGAACATCTTAATAAAGTATGTGTGAGATATCTAGATTATTTCAATATAGTTATAGATGGGATTAAGATATAGAATCAGGCAATTAGAATAGTCCTTTCCCCCACACTATGGAGGATCACACTTGAGTCATTTAAACAAATTATAGTTTAAAAAAATATTTTAAAATGCAGTCAGAGAAGCAGTTCTATAGTCTATTTAAGATGTAAACAGTCCATAGAGTTAAGATGTTCTTTTGTGGTTCCTTTTTGTATTGCATGTCCCTTGTGGGACTGAAACTGGTAAGTTTGCTTAAGCACTGTAACAGCCTGGTCAGCTCACCCCTTTTCTTCTCCTCCACCATTTCCCCTTCCTCACGGGGAGCTTGGAACTGTTTCTGTCCACAGGTAGTTGGTAGGGGTCTTAACAGAGCCAAGATACTGTGATGCTGTTTCTTGGATGCATATTCACCAGATTGAACCCTTAGTTAATGAGAGCTAGACTTTGTTATTCTTTCAAACATTTTTGAGGGTCAGTCATTCATATTTACATCAGAGACTCTAGGACACCCAGGATTTATTCAGTCATGTGTTAGAATCCCTGCCTGGCCTTCAGTTAGGTTTTCTGTTGCCTTCCTGTATATATTAATGGATGATTTTTGGACAGTTCAGTGGTAGCTAATTATTTTCAAATGTTTGATTTTTTTTGCCCTTGTCTTCTCTGTGTTAAGCTCTCATTTGAACAGACTTCCGTTATACATTCCTATAGTATGGCCATTTCCTGTCTTCTAGATTGTGTGTACCCCCCCCCCCCCCCCCCGGGTGAGACTGAATCTTATGTTCTTGGTGGTGTCCTCAGCACTCAGTAGTGCTTGGCATATAGCAGGTGATAAACAAATATTGATTAGATACAAAATTTCCAGTGGTTCTGTATAAGTGTGAGAAACCAGTGTTCATAGAGAAATTCAGAGTTCATTCAAAGGGTTAAGAATTTTATTGCCATCATTAGTACTAGGGAGTCTTTGTATTTTTCAATTACAAGCATGTGCATATGAAAAATGGCTTCATCAGTTATCTTACAGGACTTTGACTTAAGAAGAGAAAGTAAAAATTTAACTATGTTGAACCATAGGGTATGGCACATACCAGTTTTTCTTGAATTTGATGAATATATGTTATTTTATAGTTCTTTTTTAAAAATTACATTTCTTACACATAGAAGTTGTATGGCACTATAGAGAAGTTCATTTAATGGACCTATTTTTGTTCATTATAATTATATATTAAAGTATAAATTCTCATTAAAAGGCCCTTAAATGCCTGCTCATAGAAAGAGAGACCTCTTTAGAATTTTGTTCTCTATACAATCCTAGTCATTGTATTGAATCTACTCATGAAATTCTATAGTAGTTTAAACCACTAATTTGGTTTCAGAACTAAGTAGCCATGTATTGAACACCCAAATTACCATGTCTTTAACAAGTATGTAAACACTGTGTATTAAAAAGGTAATGACCATAACTTTTCTTGTAGAATTTCTTATACTAATTTTTAAAAGAGAGCTTTTGAACTAAATTTCCCGTAAGCCCCAAATCTCATACATTTAATGATAGTAGAGTGTAAGTGTATGTGTAGAAGGGAAAAGGTGGTAATTTTTGTAGTAGTATTTTTAAGTGGACAGATTACTAATTATATTGAGGTAAATATTTTACAACTCTAAAG